TGGCCAAGACCCATGAGGGACCCTGTCTGGGCTTGGCATAGTTGCCCATATTACTGTTGGTTTCAGGCACTGGGAGGGGTCCTGGAAAATTCCCAGGAAGGCATTTCTAAGCACAGGGCTGTGGTGAAGTGGAGGGGTCCTTGTGGCACAGAGCCTGGGACAGGGACCCTGAATCCCTGGGGTTGAAGGATGAGAGAAAGTTTGAATAATATTAAGACTTCAAACATAGCAATTATGTCCAAATCTCTTTGGTGCTTTAGCTACACTGGGAGGAAAGCTGTTTTAAAAGGAAGGCAGCTACAAAGTTCTAATACTTACAATATCTAAATCTTTTTGTGGGTTTGAAGGTAAAGATGCTTTTTAAAAAAAATCAAACCCCCTTTGCATTTTGCAAGATGCTCCAAAAAGGACTGCTTTGCCTTCCAAGTCTCTGCCTTTGCCCAGTTGGCTGCAAAAGCTCTGGAACCCTCTGGCAGGTGGTCTCAAGGTGGACATCACACATTGCCTTTGCTGAGCAAAAGAGGTGTAGGGACACAAATTACAGCAGAGATGTGCTAGAGGGAATCAGGTTGACCTCAGGGCTCTGTCACCCTGGGCAGGCAATGTTACAAGCACAGAGGGCTGGTACCTTCCTCTCTGGGCTGAGATGAGGAGTGGAACCCTCAGATGCAGGCACAGAAAATGTCCCTTGCTGTATGAACCCCACACGTAAAGGGGATATCTGAGCAGCCCCCCTAGAGAAGAAAAACCAAAGCAGCAGCTGCTTTCAACTGTTTTATTGCTAAACTATCATGATACAAGCCGTATAAAAATACTTTACATATAGCAAAAATAAACTACATTAAACAGGAGATTAACAACATTTGCATAGGAATGTGATGTATTCAAACGACTTTAACAGTCAGGATTTTCCAAACCTGGGTCTGCCAGCACCACACTGTTGGAGAGACGTCTATGGGTTGGAGAATTTTATTAGGACGGACAACATTTTCTCCCCTCTGAGGGCTGTAGAGGCAACGGGGGTGAGTGACGTTCTTTGACGAGGTGTCCAGGATGTTAAGCTTGTGGTCCCAACAGCTTGTGGTCTACTCAGGCCAGTCAGAATGCTGTGGGTGCCCCCCAATTCTGATGGAATCAGCATCACTGCTGTCTGTTCCTCTTAAACCCTGAACTCCGGAGACAGAACATATATTCAGCCAACAGCTGCAAAAAGGTAGGCTGTTAACCCTTTCACTTGTGGCACCCAGAATTCCCCGTCTTTTTCAGAGGGGGGTTTGCTTAGGGAGTCTCTCTCTCTCTCTCTCACCAACCACCAGAAGAGTTTGTTTTTAACAAACTAAGTTACAATGGTGACATTGGCTGTAAGTCAAGCGAGACACTCAGGAACGCTGAGGGAAATTGATGTTTGCAATCAGTTACAGGTGATAACTGCATTTCCTTCAGCATATAGCTGGAATGCAGAAAATCACTTACGGTGCAATCAGCTGGTTTGGCTTCATGAGATTTAATGCCCAAGCTTTTAGGCCTGGGAGACCCAAGGTTAAGATGTGCGGGGTCTCTGAAAGGTGCAATCAGCTGGTTTGGCTTCATGAGATTTAACGCCCAAGCTTTTAGGCCTGGGAGACCCAAGGTTAAGATGTGCGGGGTCTCTGAAGTGCTGTTCCCCCGCCCCCCAAAAAAATGAGTTTGGGAAAGGTTAGCCTAGGTTGTCAAGAACGTCACAACCCTATGCCTCTTGTAAACGCAGCGAACATGGTTGTTAAGTGGACCCCTGACATTCTTTTAATTCTGAACAAGAGAAAGCACTCGGAAAGGTTTGGGGAGTTTTTGGTTGTTGTTGGTTGCCTAAAAACTAATTTAGCTTCACTTTAGTCCAGAGTGACTATTAAAACATAGCAGCTTCTGATCTGCCTACATGTGACAGCCTTTATCCTGGCCGGGGCTGGCTTGCTGACAGCTGCTGGATGTAAATGAGAAATGCAGAATCACTGGTTCTCAGTGCTTAGAAGGAGTCAGTTCATCCTCAGCTATCCCCATGCTGGAAAACCGTGGCTGTCCTTTGGATAATGCCTGCCAAGTTTTGCTACCAGCGCTCTGATTTGGTCAGCTCTGTAAATACTGGCCTGCACTTAGGCGCTCTTTTTGAATCCTATTACAACACAGGCAAGGTTTTGTTGGTGGTGGGTTTTTTTTTAAAAAATCAAAATCACCTATTGGGGGGATCTAGACACTTTACAATACAATCCTTAGGGACAAGATCCAGGCTCAGGGGTGAAGAAAGTCGGCATCATTCTCAAGAAAAAGGTGGTTCCTGTCTTCTACCAGGTAAGTGACTAACAGGCTCTTAGGTAGGGTGGGGGATGGGGGGGTGAATGGAGTGTTTTCTGGAATGATTAACACAATTTCCAAGAATACATCATTTCTCTTAAACATACATGTAAAAAGAGACACTTAGATTTCTGACTGTTTATAAATATCTTCTAATTCCAACAGGGGTGCAATATCTTGAGGACAGATCAAAAGCATAAAAATACAGTTAAGAAAATAAAATTTAATATCATACTAATTAATTTGGATTGCTATATATATTATCAAGCAGCAGTATTTTTTGTACAATACAGGAAGACTTGGGCAGACTCGCAACCTTTGGAAATATACTACATTCAGCAACATGGTATACCTGTGGGGTGCTACATATTTACATCACCTCGGACATAGCAAGGGCAAACCATGACTAAACTATTCTCCTAACACACATCAACACGCCCATCTTTACCATCTGGACACCCATACTGTACCTTCTTGTTCTTTTAGAGATCTCATTGCTGCTTCCCCTACTGACCGTAGGTCATGAGCAATTACTCTCGGCCACATTCCCTCCTGGCATCTGTAACTAACAAAACTTTCTTGGCAGCTGCCAGTTCCCGAATACACTTTCTCTTGCCTGTTTATAACTCACATCTAAAGCTTTTGTTTCTCTTTCCTTTGCTGTTTGGGATAGTGCCTCCTCTCATATCCAGCTGAGATGGCTTAGAAAAAGAGGGGTTCATACGCGTATACGTACGTACAGGGGTTTGAGCTATCAGGAAGCCCTTTTCACAAACGTGGTTAGAAAATTGATGGAAAATGCATTAGTCCTTTTTCACCCCGTGGACAATGAGGTCGTGCTACTTTGCTACAATAGCAGGAAGGCACTTGGGTAAAACATTCAGATAACTGAGGAAAGGCCAAATTCCCTCATGTGCAAAAAAATGGCTCCTGGCCAGGTCAAGTGAGAACAAATCATTCACCAACTACCCGTAACTCTTCCCTGGTGAAGTCAACTCTTTAGGTAAAGCTGCTAGTCTAAGGAACTTTCTCTGTTAATGAGGAAGCGTTTAGCATCCCAGAAGCTCTGCAGTAGAGGTCGATTTCTTACTGGCATTGTGTTTATTTAAAAGAGAATTTAGCTAGACTCTGTGCTTGGAAAACACATGCTAGGTTTGGACCAAAAGATCACATACAAGTGCAAAGGCCCAAACCTGGGCATTTTGTCTACTGTCTGGGGTGCCAAACACACCTGCCCCCAACTCTCAGGAAAGGTTTACTTCTGGGTAACCTTGACTAGAGAAGCCCCCCAGTGGACAATCAATGGCTGTGACTGACTTCTTAGGCCTTCTGCCTAGCAGACTGGACTGAGAAATCACTTTAACTATGGTCTTTTGAAGAGTGCTAAGAATATTTTCACTTTTCTTACTGGGCAAACAACTGAGTGGCTGAAAATGAATCTCCAGTTTGTCCTGGGGTGTCTGCAGCAAATGCAAATAGAAACACATCTGCGTGATGAAAAACTCATCTGCCAAGAATTTCGAGGGGTCGTTTTCAAAAACTGCACCAATAGAGGAAGACTAGTGAGACCTACGGGTGTGTTCAGTGGAGCAGAACAGTTGCGGGGGGAATCACACCCCACTTATCCCAGCAGAGGGCATTCCAACTCCAGGGCGCACTTGAGTAGAGGTGTTTCTATGAGAACATGTTCGCTAATGCAGACGGGTCTTTAGGGGGCCACATTTTGGATAGCAAATGAGCTCTGGGGCCAAATCCTAAGCTTTACTTTAAACTGAGAGTTTAGGGTAAAGAGGGAATTCACCCCTTTTCCTCTATCTTGTTAGAAACCCACCTACAGGAGCACTTAGGCTGTTCTACTTAACTAAAATACCTGCACTATTTTGCTAGTGATTTAGCTCTCCTGCCATTCCTCTCCAAAATTCAATGCACATGCTTGAGATTCTTAACTACCTTATGGGAAAGCGCTCTGGCTGTTAGCATGAAAGAAAGCAGGAACTTTGAAAAGCAACTGGCACTTGCTCTCTGTAGCCTGGGTCATCCTTCCCCGTCCATGGAAACTGCTTAGTACGGACCCCAAGGCCCAGGGGTTGAAGAGCAGCAAGCCAGGACGACTCAATCGTTGGCTGCCTTTGCCAGCCTTTTGAAGCAGAGAAAAAATTAAAAAATAATAATAAATGTGTACATGTCATAACTTAACGCCACGAAGTTTGAACAGGTGATCTTGTCTGGGCAAGACAGTCTTATTTTGGAATGAGAATTCAAAAATAAAGCTTGAACTGTTGGCCCTGCTCGCGGTATGAACTAGGCAAGCTCAAAGACTTGATGGTTCCTTTTTTGTCTCTACCAAAAGGGTTTGGGGTTTCTTCAGCCTAGAAGCTGGACTCTCGGGCCACGTTTCTTGGGTTGCTCTGAGAACTCCTCTCCTTCAAAAGGTCCAGGAGCTGTTATCTGTCACCTGGAAAAATGAAGGCGAGGGCTGGGGTTTAATCACAGCGCCCACATCTTCTGTCCCCAGCCCCCACCCTGCAAGCGCCAGTCACTCAGTTCTCAGGTGAGTTCCAGTGTCCTGTCTTGTACAGAATGTGGCTTTGGTCAGCAGGCACTTAATACTCGGGTTTCAGATCAACGAGGATGCTCTTTGGGACGTGAGACAAAATTCAAAAGGCGTTGACAGGGAGAGACGGCGAGCTCCTTAACCAGGAGTCAGCTTTGTGCCTGCTCATTGTTCCACGTGTGGGCTCCCAGCCGGGAGGTGAGCAGGAAAGGAGACAGAGGTGTGGGAGTGGGGACAGGGGGGGCGCCGAGGGGTCAGATTCGGAAGGTGGCTTGCTCGAATGGCTTCTTCTACGTCTGATTTTGCGCGGGAGGTCCTGAAAACTCCTTCCGGATAATTTCATTAACTGCAAAAAGGAGAAGGGGGGGAGAGAGAATGGGGCCAGTGAGAGGGCATCGAAACCAAACTTCAGGGTTGCTTTATAGAAACTTCCACCAGGCTATTTCTTAAAGTACATTTTTTCCTGTTCCTCGTGATAATATGTTTGATAATTTTTAACATAAGAAATGCCTTCCAAAAAAAGATCTTTTTTTTTTTTGCAATAATATTTTGAGCTACATGTCTATTAGTTAAGAATTGTTCTCATGGTAACTCTTTCAAATCTTTTGTGGCAGAAATAGATTTGGGTCATAGGGCATGTTTGGAGTGACTTTCTCCAAGTCTGTATTTTCTTTAATGCACCTGGGGCTCTCCATTGTGTACCAAACTACTTCCACTGTGACATTTAGAAAATACCTATTACAAGATTAAGGCTGATAAAAATTTAACAGTTGACTCATAAAACTGAACAATTCTCAAAAGAGGAGCCCCAAGAAAAAGAGAGAGAGAAAGAGAACAAGCAGAATCCCACAGGTAAAGACAGACACAGCCTTCAATTCAAACACAGAGTCTACTTCAGGGGTCCTCAAACTTTTTAAACAGGGGGCCAGTTCACTGTCCCTCAGATCGTTGGAGGGCTGGACTGTGGGTCCCGGGACCAGTCGGCTGCTAAGCAGGACAGGCAGTGGCGGCAAAAACACCCAGCGGGCCAGATAAATGTCCTAGGCAGGCCACATGTGGCCCGTGGGCCATAGTTTGAGGACGCCTGGTCTATTTCCTTCAGCACCACCATGAACGGAGCGTGTTGGCAGTCCAGAAGTAGACAGTGTCCTCAGCAGGTTTCTGTAAGGTTCAGTCACCACCTCTCTCCCAGAAGCAGGTGCAGAGTTCCTAGCGGTTAGCAAGAGAGCCAAGCCAGCCACCAGCTGTCAAGAAGCTAGCTACGCTCCCCCATGTTGGCCACTTATCTAAAGGACTAGTTACTGGAATCAGGGCAGGGAGATCTTAGGATAGTGAATCCTGCTAAAAGGTCTCCTTTAACATTCTTAGAAATAAAAAGTTGCTATTGGCGGCAGTGGTGTGCACATTACCTAAGGTACGTATATTCCTTCCATTCTGCCCTTGGGTTGTGTAGACTGGTCTGGGGCAGCAGGGGGAAGGGTAGATCCCTTGAGGGGGTCTCATCAAAGGCAGATTGACTGCCCCTTTCCTAGTTCTGTCACTGAATTCTTCCCACAACCGCCTTATAGTTTGTTTTCTCAGCCTTATTTTGAAGCTATAGAGATTAGAATATTGGCACAAAGGCTTAAGTGTTAAGAATGGCCCAAAGTCATGTTTAAAGCTGGGCTCTCCTAGGTCTAGGATACTTTTCCCTGGGCGGGGGGGGGGGGGGACTCTGGCCCAGATAAGTCTACATCTTCCAGAGGCAGGGAATGCAAATAGTTTGAAAGAGTGGGGAAAGCCAGGTTTGACTCTCAGCTCCCTCACTAACTGGCTGTGTAACCTTAACCTCTCTGCACCTCAGTTTTCTCATCTGTAAAGTGGGAATCACAATAGTGATTTTACATAGGGCTATTATAAAGATTGCAGACATTAACAGATATAACAGTGCCTGGTGAGCGGTGTCCAGTAGCTCACCACTCAGAGATGCTTAGTAACACCCCATACTTCCTGGGGACCCTGACCTCCATGCTTTGTGTCAATAGAGTTTGTTTGGTCAGGCTTAGCTCCTGGTCCTTCAGATGCGCGCCCAGAGCATGTGCACAGGAGGGGAAGGGTTTGGGTGCTAGAGCCAGCCAGCCGGGGTTAGAACCCCACCTCTGCTCTTTCTTGCTTGGTGAGCCTTGCCTCAGTTTTCCCTTATGTAAAGTGTGTCTAAAAATATTACCTATACCTTCTAGAGTTGCTGAGGAGCTTCAACAAGATAATGCGAATAAAGAAATGATCATAGGGCCCAGAGTGTAGCTGGTACTGGTTTGTAGAATAGTATATACCAAGGGTGCCAAAAAAATGTATACATATTTTATACCATCTTGTCGGAAGTAAAATCAATCATTACCCCATAGTAGGAATTGCAGGTAACATGGATGTCAATAGCATGTCTATGTACACTTGGCCAGTAAGAGCACCTTCAATTCAACCTCAAAAAGTAATACATAGATAGCATCTCCTGCAGTTTGTGTGCATTTTTTTTGGCACCCTCTGTATATAATAGATGTGTATGTATGAGAAAATGACGCATGTGTTTATGAATGAGAATGTGTGTGTGTGAGTAACACTTCCAAAGTGCGGAAAAGGATCCATTAGTAGGAATGCAGAGCACTAATTGGGCACCTACTGTGTACCGAGTACTGGCTGACTCCGAGGGGACCTAAACCAATGAAGACGGTCTCCCAAGCCCTGCCCCTCCACGGCGCCCCTTCTGCAGGGCAGAAGCTGAGGGCACTTTGCAGGCAGACATGGTGAAAGCAAGGTGGGGTCAAGCCAGCTTCATGTGAAGCTTTTCAAAGCCCGGATTCTGAAGGCCTTCCTGTTTTCTCAACCTAGGAAACGAGAGGAGTTGATCCTTAATGGAAACTTTCCACAGTCTCAGCTTTCTAAAAATAGCTGGTAGGCAGCGATGTTGGCACCAGGGCCCTCACAAGAGGGTCGTTTCCCTTCTCAGAACACAGGGGTGGGAGGGTGGGGCACTTTTCAAGCAGGCAGAAGCGATTTCCCCCTCCCTTTGGATAAAAATGTTCCTGCTTTCTGAGAGCTACTTTCAGGTAGAAGCAAAGGGATGCGTCTGGAAAATTCCACAAACACCATGCATTTAGACCCTGTCACTGTTGGGGGTGGCAGTGGTGGTGAGGTGACCCTGAGGCCCTGAAGTTCAAACTCCACCCAAACCTCTCGGGTTAGGAACCTCTTCTTTCTGAAACCTCAGAGCTTGCTCCTCTGGCTGTGAACAGGAGATAGTTCTAGAGCAGAAACCCTGGCTGGGGATCGAAGGGGTGGAGGTATGTCAGGCTGAAAATGGACTCCAAGTCTGGGGGCAGGGAGGTACCTCTGCTCAGCTGCCTATAGGGAGGCTGAACGCCGTAGACTCAAGTATCGAGTATGGGGGGAAAGCGGAGACCTCACTGCCCTGTGAAGCAGTCCCATGATACCTGCCATGACATTTCTCCTGTTAGGAGCCACCCCCCAAACGCTGCCCCTCTGGGTGCTTACAGTGTCCCTTATCCAAAAATCCTGCCCTGGGCCCCCCCACCTGGTTCCACTGTGACTCCACCTTCCCCGCCTTCTGCACCTCTCTGCACCACGCTGCCTTCCTCTGCTCTTGCTGGAGGCCTCGCCAGGATCACGCTTCCCCGGTTACCTCTGCAGGGGCCACCCCTCCTCCCTCCCCTCCTCTATTTCCCAGTTCCTGGCAGCCCTCTCTGCCGCTCTGCTTACGTTCTCATCCCCCTGCAGTCCTGGCCCTCTGACCATGCCTTGAGGCATAGGAAGTACTCGATTCTGGGCACTAAGAAATGGGAACATGAAAGCTTAGAAAAGGGGTACAGAAACTTCAGGTCACAAGGTCAGAGCTCGGATTGACCCGGAGTCTGACTCTGAGGTCTGGGTGCTGAGCCATCTCCTGTGTCATTGCCATCAGCCTTTCATTCATGCAACAAATGTTTTGAGCATCTTCCCAAATAGCTCCCTCCCACCTGGTCCAAAACCCTCACTTCTCTTCCTGGAAGCCACCTCCAGGTTCCCTCCACCGTGCCCTCATTCCCTCCAGGTGCCAGTGCTAACTCTGAAATATCCCCACTCTAGCGTCCACAGCACCATGCACACAGCAGGTGCTTAGCAATGCGTGCATCTCAGCCCACCACAAGGACCCCACACCATCAGTCTTCCCACTTGGTTTAGGGAAGCTGACTGTCCTCTCTCATCCAATTGACTAAGGGGTTGCTGATCTGCTGCTTGTCCAGAGCTTTTATTTCTACAGAAGAACATGAGCGATTCACATTTACCACAGGCTATGGCCAGGCCTTTGCAGCATGAGGGCTATACAGTAATTCTCACACCAGCCCTAGAGAAACAGATGGGGAAGTCAAGGCAGGCAGGCTCTTAACATAGCAGGTGAAGAGAGGTTGGCATTTGAACCCAGGATCCATTTAAATGACTCATACACTCTACGACCCACACAACTGGTAAGAGACATAGAAATGAAGTTCTGCATTTATCCCCTGTCTTCTGGGGGTCCCAGACTCCTCCACGTGTTTTGTGTGAGGTCAGGGGAAGGCACGGGCAGCCTCTGCTCAGTGAACAGCACAGAGCTGGAAGTGACCTAGCCCAGGGATCAGGCAGGCACTGTGCCTGGGACAGTATTACTTTCAAGAACAGAAGTGAGGCCAGTGGTGGCACATCTGGCCCAGCACTCTAGTCGTTTGACCTTAGAGATGCGATGAAAGACTGATAGAGAATGTGCAAAACCTCAGGGTGACTTCTAAGTCTGAAGCCGGGAAGGAAAAACATGGAACAATTTTTTCCCCCTAGTCAGGGTCTCACTATCACCTGGGCTAGAGTGTAGCAGCTATGGTCCCACCACTCCACTCCAGCCTGAGTGACAGTGCGAGACCCTGTCTCTGGAAAAAAAAAAAAAAAGAATTACATATATATACTTTTCAAAACTCTAAGAAATGTATTATGTAATTTTTTGGCATATATGACAAAGACATTTGTATAAGGAGAATATATTCTAATAAAAATTGCTGGCTGTAGACATTAATAAAAAGAAGAGGATAATTTCTCTATAAAGGACCAGATAATGTTTTCAGCTTTGTCAGCTCTATGGGCTCTCAACTACTCACTCTGTCCATGTAGCATGAAAGCAGCCTGTAGACAAGATGCAAGCAAATGGACATGGATGTGTTCCAATAAAACTTTATTTACCAAAACAGGCTGTGGGCCAGATTTGGACTGACAGCTGTAGTTTGCCAGCCCCCTACATATACCAAGGGCAAAGGAGAAAAGGAAAGTGGGGTGTTCTCTTTGCCTCTCTTTTGAGGGTGGGAATCTGAAGAAGCCAATGCCTCTTACTAGAATTCTGGGCTGGTGCAGTGATAAATTTCTAAAACTAGACCTAACTTCTGCTAGCATCCCACTCTGCCCTAGGAATTTTCTGATTTGCTTGAAGGCCCAGACACCAGCATTCTTCCTTCCTTCCTTCCTTTATCAGATCTCAGAGGCTCTCAAACTTGAGCCTGCAGAAGAATGACTACTCAGGGTTACGGAAAAACTCTATCCCGTAGGTGCAATGAAAAGGGCTGTCAAGGGTGATTTTTACGAAAGGCTTGTTCCCCTTAACTGCTGACTTTGAAACGTAATCTCCTGAGAAGGCAACAGGAAGGAGTGGATAGGACCAATCCTGCTTTTCTCTCAAACCTCAAGCATGTTTTATAGAGGCTGGTGAGACCACGTGGATGCCCACGAGAGCCTGGGGCCAGCCACAGACGCTGCAGCCAGAAAGACACTCCTCATGCTTGGATGGGAATTGGATGCTGCATTCTCCAGACCAAGTCAATGAATCCAGGAGCCAACAGGGGCTCGAGGCATTAGTCTCTTAATACCCATCAGCTGTGTCTTCTGCCCTGCAGTACTTTGCTAAATTCACTCCCCAGACGCCCTTGCTGGGATCAGGACGGGTGACCCAAAAGCAATGAAGTACTTTCTGGGATTCTCTGCTTTTTGTCCTAACTTGTCTGGGGAAAGCTAGGCCAAGAAGGAACCTGAGTGACCAGGCCTGACTTCTGTATCAAAACTGAAAAGACGTCTTAGCTGAGCACAAAGCTCCCCCAGGGCTCTACTCTGCACTTGCTAAGTAACCTCTCAGCCTTTCATCTCCAGGTGTCTCCTCCTGCTGGGGGTACCCGGCACTGCAAGAGAGGAACTTTGCAGAGGAGCTTGGCCAGCGCTACTTGAAAGGCTTAGTGAAAAGCGGGGCATTGTGGTGGGGCGCCTACTCCCAGCTACTTGGGAGGCTGAGGTAAGAGAATCATTTGAGCCCAAGAGTCTGAGGTTGCTGTGAGCTGTGATGCCATGGGGTGACAAAGTGAGACTCCGTCTCAAAAAAAAAAAAAACAGAAAAACCTTGATAGGACTATAGCCCGAAGCAGTGGGAGTGTCTGCCGAGTTCTGCAACAAGATATCCCCTCTGGGCAGCAGGCGCTAAGTTGAAGGTTTGAGCCCAGATTCTGGCAGCACGTTTGGTGGCTAAAACTCTCAGCACTGATACTGTACCCGCATTTTTCTCATCCTGACTCCTCAGAGGACATAAAGCCCTTAGGAGGGACCATAGCACATGCTCAGACACGCACTGATTACTGCCTGTTGCCAATTTTTTTTGAAGAATGTGCTGAAACCACATCCTCCCCACGAAGGGCTCCTTCTGCTCCCGGGCCATGCTGGTACGTCTCAGGTGGGCCTGTCCTCTGGGAAACATGGTTCTGAGATGTCAGCTTCTCTGTGGGCACTAGTGAGCTTTTTTCGGGGGATCTCAGAGTAAACCGCCAGTGTGAGACTGCTAAGGACACTGGACCTGGCCTGGGCGGTAACAAACACACTTCCATGGGCAAAAGGAACTTTAGCAGCTGTGGCAGACTCTGCAGGCGAGAACACCTGCTGCCTGGATGCCCACCTGTTCTAGTTTATTCTGATTAGAATGTGCTGGGGATTAAATAATAGCCACAGCATCTAAGAAGCCAAGGCACATACAGAGAGGTAAAGTGGCTTCCTTGGTGTCCCTCAAGGGCTTTCTATCCAAAGAGTCTCCTGAAACTTGCATCAGAAGGTCTTTTTGAGCTACTAGACCCTTTGGTGGAGGCCCCATCACCAAGGTCCATCAAGGTGGGTCTACTAATTGGAGGTGGTGAGGGGCTCCTGGCTCTAGGCCAGGGGTCCTCATACTTTTAAAACAGGGGGCCAGTTCACTGTCCCTTAGACCACTGGAGGGCTGGACTATCGGCCCTGGGATGAGTCGGCTGCTAAGCAGGACAGGCAGCGGTGGCAAAAATACCCAGCAGGCCTGATGAATGTCCTAGGCGGGCCGCATGTGGCCCGTGGGACGTAGTTTGAGGACGCCTGCTAGGCTCAGTTTGAGAATCCAGAAACTACATAGCAAATTAAAGCTGTCGAAAGCACATAACACAAAGCCCATAGGAGGAGGTGAAACTTTGAGCGCAGGGGATCAAGAATGGAAATCACCAAAGACTTTTCTCCTTTGCCCTTGGTATATACTAGGGGCCTTTCTCAGGGCTCCGCCTTCCCTGCCCGCTTTGCTGCCCCCCCATGCAGACACCCCACCCCGATGGACATGGACAGGCTTATTGAACTAGATACACATAGCCAAGCATACAAAACCAGAAAGGAGCAGACTCCAACGGTGTCGCCTTTTCCCATGCAGGCCAGTCCTAGGACAGTGTGACGGGGCCCCCGGGGGAGCATGCAAGTCCCTCCCTTCTCCCTCCCAACCTCGAGCTCCAGCCTCACAGCCCGAGGTTCTCAGGGAAGGCCCCAGGACCATCCACCTAGGCAGCGGTGGGGTCCGGCCCTTCATTAAGAGCAAGAGATGGCGTCTGTGAGGACGGCCAGGAAATGAGGAGAGAGGGCCTCAGGTAGAAAAGTTTTCTTTTACCAAAAAAAATATCGAAGTTAAGGAAACACACAGCTGGAAAACAAAAGGAGAAGCAGAAGATATCAATTACCTTTGACTTTGATTTCTTGGATCAAAGATCACAGTCACTCTGTCTCATAATATGTTTTGTATCCAGCTAAGGTGTGTGTCTATCAGCTCTGAAAAAGATTCGTAAAACCATTTTTGAGAAGAAAAAAAAAATCACCTTTGATCTCTATCATGCTTCCAACTCACGCCAACAACATCCACTTAATGGGTATCTCTTAACTTGGAGCCTCTTAACTCAGGACCCAGGAGGCAGCTTAACCCTGTGGCTGTACTAATTGGTAACGTCTGTGCCAGAGTTAACCAGGTGACAATCACTGAGTTGAGGGACTTTGTGCAAAGTCAAAGAGCATCAGCAGGAGTCTGGGGGTGTGTGCTATTCAAAAGGGCTCTGCTGGGGTGTGATGGACTTCGGATCACAGCCAAGGAAAAGAATTGCAACTGGCTTCTGTGGCAGTCAAAAGAAAATCAGGGTTTCGCTGGGATCTACTCAAATGCCATCTGCCTTCAGGCTTCTGCTACACAAAATTTGGCCCCAGTTTCCATCTGATTGGTGACAGCACCTTGGTGGTCATGTACGTTCATAAAACTGCACGTTTTCTTACATTTTTTCTTTTGTGGTTGACAATTTTTCAAAAAGCAGCTCCTGCCTTGTAAGACCAATGAAGACCCTTAAAAAGGAGACCTGAACAGTCTTTCCAGCACATTTGTCTCTTTAGTTTAAATAAATAACCCCCTCTTGATGGCTGTACGATGCTGGTAACTTTCAAAACCCTCATCTTCCCAATCCCCTTGGAATGGACAAATTAAAAAGCTAGAATCCATTCTGAACGCCTGACATATAAATATTTTCTGGGTTCAGTTTCTCAAAGGAAATGATGCAGCACTATCTGCTTGACGGTCAGGTAGACCAGATGCTCTTTCAGGGAGAGTGGTGAGTGTCCTGCAACTTCATCTTCCAGGGAAGAGCATGTGATTAATGAGGTCTTCCTAGCAAACTTCATCTTCCAGGGAAGAGCATGTGATTAATGAGGTCTTCCTAGCAGTTCTGCAAGGACAGGCCTGAATTTCCAAAACTGGTGGGCTCTAATGGGAACAGGTTGGTTGGGGGCTGGCTTACAGGCTGCTGCAGCCCTGGGGCAAAATACCAAACATCCTTAGTAGCTTTGGACAATAGAGGCAAAAATTCTAGCTACATGTGGCCCTCAGGCAGCTAGCTTCCTTCCCAACCTCCACTATAAATTGGTTTGTTCCAAATCCAGGAGCAGAAGGCATTGTCAGATAATTCACTCCAGGCTTTAAGATACCACCTCTATCCTGACAGGGCAAGATTAATTAATATCTGTAGCCCAGAGCAGCACCCCTGAACTTGAGATGTAGCTATCTAACTGCCCTCTGAGCATCTCAACCTTAACACGGCCGAAACTAACCTGTGGATCCTCACTACTCACTCCCTCCATCCTCCCCTCTTCCCCGGATAACCCTGTTGTACTTGTTCTCATTATGGGAACACACATTCCTTCCTTCCACTTGTTCGGGCCCACCTTGGTGTACCCCCTGACTCCTGTGTGCAGCCCACATCCCATCCACACTTCAATGCTCTGGATCTACCAGAAACCAGCCACCTCCACTGCTGTCTCCATGCTGGGACCCTGGGCCCCATGACAGGGTGGCCCTGTTGGAACTTAAGCTAGAGCATGCCACGCGCCATCTCCCTGAGTTGTTACTCCTAGAAAAAGTCACCTCCAAAGTGCTGTAAAGGCCAAGACGGTGAAGGAGCTCAGGAAGCTTCACCCCAAAATATGACTTTTGAGTACAAAGAGTATTTTGAATCAAAGGCCCTTAGAGATCAACAGGCTTTGGAAGGGACTTTCCTTCTATCTGCACAAAACCACAGATTCATCATGAAGAACGATCGCCTTCCCTCCCCTTCCCTGTTGTCTCACAGTACTGTAGGAAAAAAGATCAAGAATGCACCCAGACCAGATAATATCTGTCTCTCAGGTTAATTTAATTTCCAAAGAGAATCACTTCCGAGTGGATCTGCTTGCCCCCATCCATCCATTCCTCTAAGTATCTATTCATCATCCTCCCTAGGAACCACCTATTGTCATTCAACAGATTACTTATATTCTTCACACTCCTCCCCTCTAAAACAAAAGTGCATAAAACTTTCAGATCCTGCCGGGAAACTGGGCCATCACTGTGTGATTCTCCCTACGTGCATGGTAAATAAAAATACTTCTCTTATAGATCTGCCTTATCGTGAGTCGATCTTTCAGCGAACCTGTACTTTATCCATATGATTCATTCAAGTAGCACTTAGTAGGTATCACCTGCAGGTCCGAGGTCAGACCTTGGAGGAGCAGTTCAAATCGAGGCGGAACTCCAGGGACCGTACTCTTAGCCCCATCAGGCCGGCACAAGGATTCTCTCTATGAACACGGTGCCTGGTGTTGGTGTGGGATGGAGGCACACAACTGTGTCCTCAGTGGACTCAAAAACCCAGTATCTGAGAAGCCAAGCCCTGTGACCTCCTCAGAGAAACACAAAGCCTCAGACTGAGGGGTTCGTCTGCTGCATTTTGAGGGCTGCTTCCTGTTTAGTCATGGAGTTTCAGCTGCTGTCTGCTTCCTGGTGGAAGCCAGCAGCATCAAAAGCAAGAAGAACCTGTCCTCATTCAGCTGAAGCCTAAACTTCAACTCCAGCCCCCGGACCACCACCCAGCACCCTCCTCCCTTTGTCTTCTTTCATCTTCACAGCTGCCCCAGGGGGAAGGGGAGAGGGTGTGATCCCCAATTCTCAGGTCAACTTAGTGAGGCAAAGAAAGATGGGTGACTTGCCCCAGAAGAGCCCAAACATTGGGTACTAGTCCCAGACCAGGGTTTCCCACATTTAAAAGGTCACCAGGCTGCCCTTTGGACGGGGGGGTTTCAGCCTCAGAAGCTCTTGGAATAAAAGCAGCCCCTCAGAACACAAGTCTGCACGAGTCTCGCTGAGCCTCAGTTTCCCTGGCCACATGAACAGAGTAAGAACTCCTCCCAAGCAAGGCTGCTGCAGGAGTGACTGAGACGACACAGCTGGCTTGCTGAAGGTGCTCACCAGCTCCCCCAGGACAGTGGTTCTCAGCCTTCCTAATGCTGCGGCCCTTTAATACAGTTCCTGTGCATCGCAACCCAGGTTGAGAACCGCTGCTCCAAGAGTCCTCTAATGCTCTAATGATGGCAGATGGAGGACAGAGAAAGGCGTAAAAAGGAGATAAAGACCTGCCTCAAAAAGGTCCACACCGGTAACTGAGAATACGATTCTGTTTGGCTACTTGTGAAAGGGGAAGCTCCGATGACCCGTGGGTGTGTTCTGTCAGTGTTCGGCACTATGAAGAGGGGACATGGGGAGAAGAGGCAGTAGGCAGAGTCACCGTACGCTCCTTAGGTGCCACCTACAAATCCTCCCAAAGGCAGAGAGAGGGGCACCTATGCTGCCCGTGCTCTGTGGTCCTTCCCAAGGCCACGGCCAAAGACCTACTCAGTGGCTTGCGTTTTTACCTCCTCGTCAGGCATAAACTGATGAGTCACCTCCCTCATCCTGTGGACAAGATAACTGATGGGCTCCATCAACACTGACGCCTTGTACGAAAGCACAGTGGGCCAACAAACCGCCTTCACCGACAAAAATACAGACCCAAGAGTTCGTCACCGCCACAGATTATACAATCAGCCTCCCACACTTCTGAGATCACAGGCTCAAGTATTTAAATGGGATGGAACTCAGTGGGAAACCCAGTATGCCTCTATGTCCTAGAGCTGGAGGGAATTAGGGACTGGGCTAAGGGTCGTTCCTTCTAACCAGTGCAGAACCTGCCACCTCCTCCTCTATTCTCTGCTTTTTTTCACAATGGCACATCCACTTCCCATCTAGTGAGAAATGGCTCCGGACTTTCTCTAGACGTGGCTGCCCGCCCTCAAAGGCAGGCCACGCCCGGCCTGTAAACTCCAGAGCTGAGCTGAGGTTCCCCCTCTGCTCCTGTCTAGTTCAGCATAATTTCTTCTGACTACAGGCAGTGAAGCCACACCTCTCCTATCAGGCAACCACGCAGCTTCCAGAGCCTGACCGCAGGCAGAAAAGCCTTCTCAACACACCACCTGACTTCCTGGTCCTTCCGTCAGTTCATCGCCACCTTGACCCCAAACCCCTGCTAAGAAGCAGGAGCCAGGGTGGAAGCCCTGCACAGTAACTTGTGTCTTAAAAATACATAAATAAATAAAATAAACAAAAAGGGTAACTCACTACATCGAGTTGAGATTTCAGGAAAGAAACAGTAATCCAAACCCACAAATCAGTCTGTGGCCACAAATGAGATGACCAAATAATTACCTAATTGTTTGAGAAGCCGTCTTTCTCTTCGGGGGTTAGAGGAATTGACCAAACATTTATTTAATGGCACTTGAGTTTCCTTCTCCGTGCTTATCCAGGAGCCAGGGAATCGAGGCCCCAGACACTACAGGCAGGGGATGGGCAGGTGGAAGCGTGGAGCAGCAGGAAGGTTTCCCACCCAACACATTCTCCTCATATCACAGAATCGCACAAAACTTGCTCCTGCCCCCACCCCAGGAGGGTCTAAAACCCTAGCCTGACTTCATAAGACCTCTCCTTCAAATGCCAGCATGGCCCCTGCTGTGCGGAAAGGATTCAGTTGGTATTTATTACCTCTTCCAGCCCAGTCTCCATCTCATCTTCCTATAATTTCACCTTCCAGATCATTCTGTGCCCTCCCAAGTATGCCATGACCAGGTCATAGCACAGCTCCAGCATGGGACACCCACATACTCCCACAGCCCAGCGCAAGCCCATGTCACACTACCTTCCAGGACACCTTCTGATCAGTCTTATAAATTTCAAGTCTTGAATTTCCCGCAAAAGATTTCAACCACGTCTGCCTCCCTCCACACCTTCACAGGCCCGAGAAGCCACCAGCTGCCTGGAACAAAATTCCTCAGGGGCAGAGCAGGGACCAGACTCTGTCTTAAATTTCTCTAAGTGAGATTCACAGACCTGGCCCTTTCACTTAACTGCTATCAATTCAAAGCCTGCCTGCAGTGACCAGCAAGAACCA